TCTCCGCCCGCCCCTCCCTCTCCCGCTTCCTCCTCTGGAACCGCACCCTCTCCAAATCCCAAACCCTAGCTTCCAACCTCCAGAACTTCCACCCCGAGCTGACCTTCGAGGTCGCCAGGGACCTTGATGAAACCGTCGAGATTGCTGATGTCATCACCTGCTCCACGGGCTCAGAGAGGCCGCTGGTAAGAGGGGAGTTGATCAAGAAGGGGGTGCATATGAATCTGATAGGGTCGTATATGAGGGAGATGAGGGAGTGTGATGAGGTGGTGGTGAGACGAGGGGGGTGTTTGTGGACACAAAGGCTGTGATTGAGGAGGCAAGCGGTAGTTGCTGGATGTCGAGGAGGAGTGACTGTGGTGAGGCAGCTGGCTGCAGGTGGGTGCGGGGGGGGTGGAGGTAGTGAGCGAGGAGGGAGGAGGAGGTGATGGTGTTTAAGTCGGTGAGGGTCGGGGTTCTCGACCTGCTGGCCGCGCAGCTGGCTTATGAGAGTTACATGAAAGGTATTGTTACAGTTAGAATACTTTGCTTTTAAATGTCCATGCTCATTTTGGTGGGGTGTGTTGAATTTCCATGAATTAGGTTGGTGTTGGATTGATAATTTATACTGATGGCGCCTATGAGGAATTTCATGTTCAGGATTATTAGTCGCGTATGTTGAATGTGCTTTAAGTGGACTTGTGAAATTGACAGAGATTTATATGTTTACCCTTTCTAATACTAAACCCATTTTTAGTTTAGTGATTTAGTCACAAAAGACATCATGTAGTGCAAGTTTGTTTACTTCCTTTTTTGTTGTAGTCGTATCTTTAATTTTTACGAATAACAATACTATAGCTGGTATTTTTTAGATTTTAGGCTATTAGTACTTGAATTAGTTTAATACATAGCTTGGATTGTGACATTATCACCCTTTTTTTGGGTTATTTGTTTGTAGATATGTGGCTAATTTATTGAATGAGAGGCAGAAGTTGGCTCCCTTTATTCACGTTTTCCCATTATGTGCTAGGCTTCTCAATCAAGGTATGAGAGGTTTTGATCAATATTTCAAATATTTTTTATTTGATTATATTGCTGTTAGAAAAGAAATTAGATTCAATTATAGTGATAATAGAGAGAATTTTGTGGAATTAGCTTTGGGCATAATTATTATTGGATTTTGGGTTTGTTTGTAATGCATTAATAGCCTTATAGCAATTTTATGTAAACCCAATAACAATTGGGAGATAACTAAAAAATGAAGTCAATAAATTGAACCAAACCATTGATTGTTCGGTCGCATGAAGTCGATAACTTCAATTGTGGAAGATATGATTGTGCCTATAAAGGTCTTATGTTTTATTGAATGTTTTAGTAGGAATCAGTACCACGTGAATTTCCTATTGTAATGAATATTTGACATATAAAATTCTATTCAGAAATTGTTCGAGTATGTAAAACTCTGATAATTTATGAATAATATAATTAATGTGTGATAAATTATGATATGTGGATATTTAGTATGATAAATATCATTTAATGGTATATGAGTATAATACCATGTGATTTGAGTATGAACGAGTTCATACATGAGAGAGAAAAGAGTTGAAACATGCAAAAATGGCCAAACATATGGAAACTGAAAATGTCCGGTCCGGTCGACCGCAGCCTGGTCGACCGCAACGGTCAATCGCGATACCTGCAGTCTGTTTTTCTCCTGTTTTGAGTTAGTTTCGGATTTCTAAACCCATATCTATTTTCCCCTGATATATATATATATATATATCTAACACATTTTCCTACAACCCCAGGCGAGTATCATCTCTGCTAATCTCCCTCCTAGTTTTCAAAACATTTTTAAAGAGTTTTAAACATGTTTTGTAGAGCCTAAATGACTAGTTTATGAATAAAATCAACTTCTTTTGTATTATATGTCAAGAGACTAGGTCTTTCTATGCTAAAAAGGTTGAGAACGATTCTTACAGAAGTATTTAAGACCTGAAGATGATTTTAAAACATGGTTAATCTAAAGAAAGAAGTTTGATTCGTTGTTTTGAGCTTTTATGCATGTTTTAAGGTTTTGAAAAAAAATTTAATACATAAAATCTTGTTTATAATTGTTGTGTTTGCATACAAGTTTCATGAAGATTTAATCATGTTTGAATCATAAAAACACGACGTGAGCATGACATACACAAAAAAATTAAGAATCTGGAATCAAGGTTCACGGTCAACCGCTACGGTCGACCGCGTGCAGGACAGAGATCTGGGTAGTCTCTGGAGCCCGTCGTGGTCGATCTCCACGATCGACCGCCAGTTTGTTTTGGCTGTGCATGTTTATAAGGGTTGGATTCGGTTTGTCGAGCAAATCTCTCGACCTTATGATGATAGACTATGATGTTAATGAATGTTAAACACCTGGGATGATGGTGAACTTCAGATGAGGACACGCACACCGAGATTTGTGCATGTATACTAGATTGTTTTAGATTGACACACTTTCAACATATGCTAGATTGTGTTAGATTGACACACTTTTGACATGAGTTAATTTGATAAACACATATGAATAATGTTGTTCTATACGTATCCGAAAATAGGGAGACGAAACCTATTTGCCGCAGAACGATTGAGTAAGAGTATTACAAAAGTATCGTTATTACACGTATCCAGAATAAGGAGATAGTAAAACCTATTGCCGCAGAGCGATTGAGTAAGAGCATTACAAGAGTATCGCTATAGAAAATGATGATGCACACATAGATAATTAATCAGTTGTAAGCTTTACTTTCATGATAGATTGCCCATGAGTAGGGTATTTCCTTTGAGATTTTGATACACCCGTTATGAACGACAGATATTTTTTGTTTTAGCAATTGTTGATATCCTCTTATGTTAGAGCAGATCACTCGGACGTAGTTTGAGATGAGATGATTATTCTTTATGTTGGAGATTGGGGTTTTTATCATTGGTTATTTGTTTTTCATTTATAGAGAGTTATATGAATGATTTGATATATGTATGTACTGACTCTATTTTCTATATACTCCTACCCCTTCCCCTGGGGAGAGGTAGTGATGATCTCGCTAGCGCTTTGACGCTCATTGTTTCCCCTCTTTCAGGCAGCGAGTCCGGTGCACGGAAAGTCGCAGGTTGATGGGACATCTTAGTTGTCCGTTTAGCTATTTATTATATTTTGTAGTTATTACAGAACTCCACATGTGGTTGATTATTTTCAGACTCTAGATTGGTATTTTATTTCATAGAGTTGAGAGCTATTGTGAGACTTGGTTTATTTGACTCATCGTATTTGAGATTCAGTTCAGACTCAGTGAAATATCTACTTCATTCTAGTTGGGCTCATTATTAATATTTCTTATGCTTCTTCTGTGTATATTTTCAGTGTTGTTCGATTTCGATTATTTACCTGTCTGTACCTTCATCTATTTATTGTTTCCACTAGAGAGATAGTGATTGTGATGGTAAAACATGTCTTTCTTATGCTTCTTCTGTGTATATTTTCAGTGTTGTTCGATTTTGATTATTTACCTATTTGTACCTTCATCTATATATTATTTTCACTAGAGAGATAGTGATTGTGATGGTGAAACATGTCGTAGCATGGAGTTGGTGCTTGACAGGTTTGACAATCCGGGTTTTACCTTGGACTGCAGCTTTGTGTGAATCCTGGGGCGTCACAGTTGGTATCAGAGCTCTAGCTCCAATATCCTTAGGATCATTATTGTGTCATATTATGGAGTTTAGGATAGAGTTTCCTAGGGATAATGTATACAGTCCGCTAGGAATCCTTAGCATGAGTGAGGACGTACTATATATGTACGCGAAAAATCTAATATTTTTTTATGATGATCTATTTGCTTTGAATAATAAAGCATGATATGAGATATATGTGATACGATTTACTTATTGGTATATGTTATATTCTTCAGATGGGGAGCCGGAGCCACAGCAGGCTCCGCAGTACCTAGTGGATCTCATAGCACCATTGGCAGCTTGTATGATGGCTATTGAAGAGCAGTTAGCAGCTCAGGTTTGTCAAGAGCCTTCCGTTCATGAAGAGGCACCCGTTCAGGAGTCATCTATT